GATAAAACAGTCTAATCTGACGTCTTCTAAGTTACGTATATGTGTGTGAATGTATATATACAAACATATATGTATATGTGCATGTTTATATGTCCATCTGCAATGATATATACGCATTATATATGGTCAATGCAATACATATGTGTATATTATCAATAATATATATACACACATTATATATATGGGATCACTGTCCTCCCATTGTTCATCGATTTGCTTGAGTGGGCCCAGTAACGTCTCCATTAGAGACTTTGTTGTTACTGTATTTGGCATATTGAATACATCACTGGTAGCTTGCCAGGCTCTGCCGTGCGGGCAAGATACTCTCGGAAGCTTGCCGGGCTCTCCAAGAGGGGCGGAGGAATCGATCTTGGTTTGGCCATGTTGGCTGCGTGCAAAGCAAACGCCCTACCGCTGTGCTATCGCTCCAGCCCTAATATATATATATATGCCTCTTGGAGAGCCCGGCAAGCTACCAAGAGTATCCCGCCTGCACGGGCAGAACCTGGTAAGTTCCCTGTGGTGTATTCGATACGCCAAGAACGGTAACGATGATGGGTCTCATTCCCTTGATCCTGAAAGAGCCTTCAATCGTTGGAAAAGACTAATAAGGAGAGGCGATTTTTTGCTAAAATCTTGGGGCTGGGAGGAATGGGGATGTTACTGGCGCCTGATCGAGTAAATAGAGGAACAACAGGATGACAGTGATATAGTGATACAGATATATACATATACTAGACAGTGCAATTGTCTAATATGTTGTTTACGAAGTTTTGGTTAGGCAGTCTGAGGAGCTAAAACAAGGAATGTGGAAGAAATTATGGTTCATGGAGGATCACAAGACTCACTCAGATCTTGTGACCAAGAGCAGCCTATTTATCCTTCTTTGATTTGCTGGCTTATTATAATCACGTCCACTGAAATTCAACAGCGTAGGAAGAATCACCAATGAAATTCAACAGTGTAGTGGAGAACATGATCAATTAAAGGGAGAAAGACATAATCAGTCACAATCACAAAAATCACAACCATCCTGTTACTCATCGATTGCCTCGAGCAGGCCCCAGTAACGTCTCCTTCGTCCTAGCCCTGAGACTTTTTTAAAAAAGTGCCATATTCAAGGCTCTTTCAGAGTTAGGAGAATGAGACCCTTCATTGTTACTGGTATTTGGCATATTGGGTATGCCACGCGGAGTTTGCCAGACTCTGCCGTGTGAGCAGGTTACATTCGGTAGCCTGCCGGTTTGTCCAAAGTAGGAATGAGATGATTGGCGGCCGCGCGCTTCCGGGAGCTGGGTTTTATAGTCTCTGAGTCTTGGCCGTTGATGGGATTACACGGCGCCAGGGGGCCAGTTGGTGGGTGTGACCCCCACCTACTGGAATTTGGAGGATCTGGGTGGAGGATGCTCAGCCCTGATCCGAGTAGGCTTCGAGATCTCAGCCCCGGACCCGTGTGCCTTTGTTCCTCTGCCGGTAGCTTCATGTGTGCGGAGAGTGGTCTCAGAGCATGGTGGTGGCTGGCTCAGGAGGTCTTCAGCTGCCGGAGACATAATCAGTTAGGGAAGAAAAATGGTCAATTACATAGGTCATGACCTCCTCACACCTGAAAACATAGTCAGTTACCTCAGGACCTCCTCACGCCTGGAAATGCGGTCAATTACATCTATCGTTTAGCTAGGTCTGAAATATGTGAGAAGGAGAAACTGCTGCTTTGTGCTCCTGGAATTCGCTGGCCACAGAGGGTCAGTTTTGCCTTTTTCATATCGATCAGACTTTCAAGCGCCGGCTCACCCACTTAGTGCAGTGTGGGGTCCTGGTTCTGCTTTCTGCTTGCAGGGAAGCATCCAAGGACTCATCTTGATCTGGTTGGGCACCAACAATATGTATCATTAAAGTATGACTTCTCAGTTACTTATATAGGTATGCAAATTCTGTACTTTTTCCATGACTCCTTATGTTTTCCTTTCTTGTGCAGCAGTCATCAGTTTGCTACTTTTTAATTTTCCCTGAATTTTTGTAGTTTGGCATTTTTGTCTTCTATCCCTACTACCTTCAAATTAATCTTCTTGAAGGGCATTATTGTAATAACTCTCCGCCTAAAATTTTTCAGGAACTTTCTTCCATTGTCTTCAAGGCTTAGTATAAATTAATTGCTCTAGTGTTTGGAATACTAATATATACTGAGAATATTGCTCACATCATAAAAATGATTCGTTCTCATTTAGCACCCACTGCATTCGATATTCTCCAAGTCATCTTTCTAGAATGATGTTCAGATTGCCTAATAAATAACTTCATAAAATAGAGTTATACTTTACACGATGCTTCTTAATAAGAGGTATTAATCTCTTATTTTAGTTCCTTTCTAAGAGAAATGAAATGGAAGAAAATTTGAGGGAATTATTGAATTTTTAATGAGTGTCTTCATCACAAGAAGCGTTTCTCATCAGATTCTTCTAAGGCTATGAAACTTACGTAAACTAGTAAGTTTTTAGGTGTTACATTTATTAGCCTCCCGTTTTAGGGTTTGTTTTTGGTTTTTGGGCCACACCTGGTGATGCTTCAGGGTTACTCCTGGCTCTGCACTCAGGAATTTTTCCTGCTGATGCTCAGGGGACCATATAGGATTCCAGGGATTGAACCCAGGTGGCCACGTGCAAAGAAAGCATCCTATCCACTGTACTATCTCTCTGGCCCATTGACATATTAAACTGTTGTATATTAAGGTATGTAAATGTATGTTTTGATGTTGCTGTACTCTGTGGGATCATCATTACTTTCCAGGCTATTAACATCTCTAACGCCTGTACTTAATTACTGGAGGTGTGTCTGTGCTCTAACTTTGGGTCTGCCTTGTTACCAGGCAAATAACAAATACATAGTGTGGTTTGCCATCATCTCTGTTCTCTGTGTTACATCTTCAGAATTTACTTATCTCAGATTCCTAGCTGAATCTTTCTATTCTTTTTTTTTTTTTCTTTTTGGGTCACACCCGGCAGTGCACAGGGGTTTCTCCTGGCTTTGCACTCAGGAATTACTCCTGGCGGAGCTCAGGGGACCTATATAGGATGCTGGGAATTGAGCCCGGGTTGGCCGCATGCAAGGCAAACACCCTACCTGCTGTACTATCGCTCCAGTCCCTGAATTTTTCTATTCTTTGCCCAATATCAAAACATTTTAAATTTTGTCTTTGGGCCATAACCTGGTGGTGCCTGGGGCCACTGCTGGTTGGATCTGTCTCCAGGGAACCACCTAGTGCTGAGGTTGAACCCAGGCTTACTGCATGCAAAGCATCTTGCCAGCCCACAGGTTAGATTTTTTCATCTAATTTTTATTCAATCTTTCCTCTCTGAGTTTTTAAAGGTTTATTACATCGGTGACAGTAAGTCCTGTTCCTTTGATTTCATCTTGATTGTGTGTCGCACCTGAGCCTTGATGCAGTATGAATAATCTCCCCTGGTTACATGCCTGTTTTGCTTGGACTTTTCGGTGTTGGAAAGATAGTCCTGTTGTGAAGCAGCCACGTTTGTTTATAACAGGGACCTAGTAGCACAGAAACTGGGAAATCTTTGTTAGAATATATTCATACTCTCTTTTTTCCTTTTCTTTTTTAAATAGGGTTTTAAAAAATTGAATCACCAACAGATATGCAGTTACAAAGTTGTTCATAATTGGATTTCAGTTACACAGTGTTCCAGCACCTCTCTCTCTTTTTTTTGACTTTTTAAACCTCTCTCTTCACCAGTGCGCATTTCCCACCACCAGTGTCCCCAGTGTCCCTCCCACCTGCCCCCCATGGCAGATACTTCTCTCTCTCTACCTTTCTCTTCCTCTCTTTCTCTCTCTGTCTCTCCCTCCCTCTCCCCCTCTCTCTTTTACTCCCTCTCTTCTTCTCTCTCCCTTTCTTTCTCTCTCTCTCTGTTACTTGACTTGGAGGAACTATGGTTCGCAATACTGTTCCTGAAAGGTACCATGCCTCTTCATTCTTGATCATTTGAGATTTATAATATGTCATGTGGGCAGTTTTATTCTATCCGGCGTGAATGCTTCTGTGAAGTAGTATCATCTCCAGCACATACTTCCCACTTCCCTATGTCACTCTGCTATTTTCACTGTGCCGGGCCCACAAGAAATTCACCCCAGTTAACTCTGCCCAGCTTCATTATCTGCGACCCTGGACTGTTATGTCCTGTGAAGTTAACATAACAGCCATTATATGTGAAGGTGAGCATTTATTTCAATGCCTTGTCCCTGTTACTCAATCCATATATTGAAGAAAAAAATGCTTTATGTACATTTTATTTTCCTAAACTCCTTATGTTAGCATGAATACACTGATTTATTTTTTAATATAGTTTATGTAGTTGCAAATTACACTGAAGTAGAACTTTATAAGATAGTCCCTGTAGAATTCTTAGTTTCTAGACTCAAAATTGTTTTCAATTTTATCTGCTCTAAATCAGTTCTGTGAATCTGGTCTGTATATTAAATTAGTAATTAATTTTTCGGGGTCAGTAATGAAAGAAAAGATCCATGATCCATTCTGTTTTTGTTCTGTGTCTTTCCTCTGTCTTATTTTTAATACAAACTCTGTTTTATTATTATTGAGTCAATGTGAGATACAGTTACAAGCCAGTTACAAACTTTCATGAAAACTGTGGTTTTTGTTGTTGAATTATTTTGGTGCTGACTTAATTTGTAACTCACTTTCTTTGATTTTTTTTTCAGCAAAATTTTGATAGGGTTTATTTAAAACAGGAGAAATTATAATACAAATTATTAACAATTTATGGTGCTTCTGTAATGAGCTGTAGGTTATTAAATAAAATGGATACATTTTAAAACATACAAAAGAACTCAAAATATCAAGGAAGACATCTTGACATTACAAAAGTCTCTGGGAATAAGGCAAATCCATAATTATACAAATCTATAGTACCATAAAACCACTTTTTTGCTCTTCAGATTCAACTGAAATATTTTCTTTGATTTTTTTTAAGGTAAACGAAATTGCCTTTATTAATACCCTGGAAGCACAGAATAAGCGTCATGATGTTTTATCGAAGTTGAAGGAGTATGAACAGAGGCTGAATGAACTGCAGGAAGAGCGTCAGCGGAGACAGGAAGAAAAGCAAGCACGTGACGAAGCTGTCCAGGTAGCGTTTTATTTGGAAAAGTTACTGAACCCCGTGAGCTTCCAAGTTTGCCACAGGATTGTTGTATGAATTATTTATTAGCTGGATTTCCGTTGGTATTAGCTTTGTCCTCTGTCCCCGATCGTTTGAATTATAGACACAGACAGCATGATATTCTCTAATTTCGTTCACGTAACAGTGACCAGCATGATTTCATCTCTCACTCTTCTCTCTCTCTTTATTTTTTTTTGTAGGGAGTACTGCTATTCAGCCACTGATTAGCTGATTGAATAGTGCATGAACTCCACCTTACTTTTTTTTTATTTTTTATAATTTTATTTATTGAATCACCGTGAGAGCAGTTACAAAGCTTTTGAGTCTAAGTCTTGGTCATACAATGAAACACCCGCACCTTCACCAGTGCCCATTCTCTACCACGAAAACCCTAGTATACCCCCATCCCACACCCTTCCCCCACCTGTGGGGCAGATGATTTCCACATTACTCTCTCTCTACTTTGATCACTTTCAATATTTTGACTCCAGACGCACCATTATTATTTGAGATTTTACCCCAACACTCAGATATGCTGAAAAGGCAACAATAGACAGTTTGTGTTCGATTGCTGGTTATGAATAACATATGATGTCGCGTGGCTGCAGTAGGGCCATGTGATTTTGAAATTCTGAAATTTTAACACTTAAATCTGGAGGGATTTCTGCCAAAAGCCACTGGGTTTCGAGATTTGCTCCTGAGTCTCTGGGATCATGGCTATTGAGCTGCTTGATCAGGAGCCAGAGAGGCCGTTCGTGGGCGATGACTTGTGGTCTCGTTGGGGTGGGGAGGACAGGCCTGGCTCCCCCCCCCCCCCCCATCCCCTGAGGCCCAACAAGTTTCATCACTTCGGGCCCAAGCCTGACTGTCCAAAGGCCTCTGAAGGATGACGGCCGCTGAGCCGCCAAGAGGGAGCAGGTGGAGTGACAACACCCTTTCCTCCCTGGGATGGCCCGGCGACAGTAACGTACTGTGGGGTCTGGACGCATTTCTGCCAAAAGCCACTGGGTTTTGAGATTTGTTTCTGAGTCTCTGGGATCATGGCCATTAAGCAGCTGAATCAGGAACCAGAGAGGCCATTCGTGGGCAGTGACTTGGGGTCTCATTGGGGTGGGAAGGACAAGCCCAGCTCCACCGCCATCCCGTGAGGCCCTGTGTGTCTTGTCACTGGGGGCCCAAACCTGACTATCCAGTGGCCTCTGAAGGATGGTGGCCACTGGGCCACCAGGGGGAACAGGCCAAGGCACAAAACCTATTCCCACCTGGGTTGCCCAGCACCGGTAACCTACTGCAGGGACCGGACGCATTTCTACCTAAAGCCGCTGGTTTCTAAGATTTGTTCCTGAGTCTCTGGGATCATGGCCATTAAGCAGTTCAATCAGGAACCAGAGAGGCCATGCCTCCAATTATATAGCTGAGCCGGAGGTGGTTTGTGGGTGTGTTTCCCACATACGTAACTTTTGGCTGTTTACTTTCTTGGTAAACTTTGCCCCAAGTTTTTGGGGTCTGGCCAAAGGCACAGCAGCAATTTTGGGGTATCTGGAAGTCTGAAGGCGCCATCAGGCTGCTGATGCACTCGCCTCACAGGTACAGATTGACCTGCTGGTGGCACCATACCCCCTTTCTCTCTCTTGTTAAATAGCTAAGTAGTATTCCATTGTGTTGAAATACCAGTTTCTTTATCCTCATTCATTCTTGGGCATTTGGGTTATTTCCAGATCTTAGCTATTTTGAAGAACCCAGGAGTGAATGAACATAGGGCTCAAACTTCTTTTTGAATGAATGTTTTTGGGGTCTAGAGGCAGATGCCAAGAAGTGGGATTGCTGGGCCATATGGAAGTTCAATTCTTAATATTTTGTTTGTTTGGGGGCCACGCCTGGCAGTGCTCAGGGGTTACTCCAGATTATGCACTTGGCAATCACTTCTGGCTGTGCTCAGGGGACCATATGGGATGCTGGGCTCAAGCCCGGGATGGCAAGGCAAGTGCCTTACCTGCTGTGCTGTTGCTTTGACACCTCAATTCTTGATTTTTGAGCAATTTCTATACTGTTTTCCATAGAGGCTGAGCTAGACAACATTCCCACGAACAGTGAATGCTTGTTCCATTTTCACTTCAGTTCCAGTAGTACTGATTGTTTCTAGTCTTTTTGATCTGTGCCAGTATTATTGTTTGATGAGCATTTCCCTGATGGTCAGTGATGAAGAGCACTTTTCATATACCAGTTGCTCATCTCTATGTCTTTGAGGACTTACCAGTTCAGTTCCTCTTCCTGTTTTTCTTTTTTGGGGTTCCACACTTGGTAGTGCTGAGGGTTGGGACCTTGGCAGGGCTTGGAGAACCATATTCGATGCCGGGGATCAAGTCTGGGTGAGTTGCATGCGAGTTAAGCGCCCTACCTGCCATACTATCGCTCTGACCCTGTGTTCTAACATCCTGTAAAATGTTTCATTAGGAACGCAAAAGAGCACTGGAGGCAGAACGCCAGGCCCGTGTAGAGGAGTTGTTAATGAAGAGGAAAGAACAGGAAGCCCGAATTGAGCAGCAGAGGCAAGAAAAGGAGAAGGCCCGTGAGGATGCAGCCCGGGAGAGAGCGAGGTAACTCATTTGCCCGTTGTGATTTACGTCTCGACGGACAGTTTGCAGTGATTGAATGTTTCAATCAAGTCTTAAAGCCATGTTGAGTTTTGGGGGGAAACACTTCCAAATACAGCACCATAGTACTGTAGCACTGCCCTCCTGTTGTTCATCCATTTGCTCGAGTGGGCACCAGTAACGTCTCTGTTGTGAGACTTGTTGTTACTGGTTTCAGCATATTGAATACGCCACGGGGAGCTTGCCAGGCTCTGCTGTGCAGACGAGATACTCTCAGTAGCTTGCTGGGCTCTCCGAGAGGATGGAGGAATCGAACCTGGGTCAGCCACGTACAAGGCAGACACCCTACCCGCTGTGCTATCGCTCCAGCTTAAATACAGAAATATGCAAAATTTCAGTTTCTAAGGAGTGGCAGTGCATGAGAGTGGAAACATTTTTGAACACTTATGCTGGGTGGAAGCTTGACATTTTAGTTATTGTTGTGCTTGTTATAGGAAATAGATTTTGATTCTGACAAGAATTTCTTTCTTTTTTTTTTTTTTTGCTTTTTGGGTCACACCTGGCATTGCCCAGGGGTTACTCCTGACTCTGCAGTCAGGAATTACTCCTGGCGGTACTCAGGGGACCATATGGGATGCTGGGAATTGAACCTGGGTCGGCCGCATGCAAGGCAAGCGCCCTACCCGCGGTGCTATCACTCCAGCCCCACAAAAGGGAATTTCTAGGAAAATATTGAGGCAATAAGGCATAGGTTATATCCTAATGTTGGTCGTAAGAGCCTTTGGAGTGATCTTTTTCACAGAAAGAGCCTCAACAGCATGTGGCCAGCCTGATGATTATAAATGACCTGTGGCCATCTCCACCTTTAAATATCACTTACTTAATTGTGCTGGAGACATAGTATAGGAGTTAAGGTTTTTGCCATGCACACGGGTGACCCTCCTGAATCAGTCCTCAGCACCCTATGGTCTCCTGAACAATGCTGGGAGCGACCCTTGACATGAAGCCAGGAGTAGCCTCCAGGCGCCTCTGGGTATGGCGCAAACAAGACATTCAACTGGCCAGATCTCTGCTATGCAAATATGTGATATTTCTGATTCAAAAACTAAATGAACTGATGGGACCAAAGTAATAGTACAGCAGGTAAAGAATTTACCTTGTATGTGGTAGACCTGGATTTGATCCCTAATACTCCATAGAGTCTCTTGAGTGCTGCCAGGAAAGTGTCTTCTCTGCAGGAGGGCTCATGCTGGGTCCCCAGTGCTGCCTTTGTACTCTGAGCTTGGCTGAGTGTGCCTGACAGCTCCACTGTGAGCCTGGCCACTGCAGACACTGATGCCCAGTGACTCTGTGTCCAGGTGTGTGTGAGCACTGCAGTTGCAGAGTTTCGTGCTTGGGAAATACCTCTAAAAAGATGCATGAACACCATGACCATGACCAGGAATATAGTACACACACACACACACACACACACACACGCACACACACACACACATGCTCACATCTACACTGACCAGTAGGTACATTTGTGAGCACTGCCACCATAGTGTATTGCCCCCAGCAAGCACTGCACACAAAATCTGAGTGAGACCTCAGCTGCAGTGTGACCCCTGGTGAGCATGTGTGCCCGCACTGTGCTCCCTGACAAGCACCCAGCCTCATGTGCAGAGACGACAACCCGATGTGTAGCTGTCTCTCTGGTTGCAGTTTTATTCCTCTTCAGAATCTGTTGCCACACTAAAACCGTTATCAGAGTTGCACTCTCCATGGTTATAAATTTTTTTAATTCAAACACTAAAAAAATTTTTTTTTTTAAGGAAAGAACTGTGATCTACAGTTATTCTTAGTTGAGTTTTAGGCATATAGTATTTCAACAACAACCCCACCATCAGTGTCAGATTCTCCCCACTTCTCCACCAGTGTTCCATATTCCCTCCCCATCCCAAGCCCCACCCCATCCCTGCCTGTCAACTCGACAGGCACCTTAGAAAGGTTCAGTGGTTGCACCTTAGACCTCATGTTTTCAGTCCTGTTGAGTCTGTGTTTGCATATATGGCTATACCATTCTCCCATATCACCAATACAGCCGAAACCTACCCACTCTTTACTTCCTGTTCTCTTCTCTCCCCTGCCCCCCCCCCCATTTCTTTTCTTCACTGTCCTTCTAGTAAGACACAGGGGTCAAGGCTGATTTGGCCTCCCCCTTTCCTACAGTACATTTCCTCATCCAGTTGATTCTGCATGCCACAAGGAAGTCGCAAAGGCAACACAGCTTTTTTTTTTTAACCTCATGAGAATTGTTCCTTCTTGCAGTCAAATTTACCATCTCTGCACCTTCTTACAGAGACAGGGAAGAGCGCTTGGCGGCGCTCACCGCTGCTCAGCAAGAAGCGATGGAAGAGCTACAGAAGAAAATTCAGCTGAAGGTATGGAGACGACACGCTTTCAGTCCACCTGTTATGCTTTCAGTGAAGCAAGAGATTACTGTTCGCCCATTCAATCCATTGTATGAAAATTGGATTACACTGTATTCCTAGCCTTTGAATAACAAGACTGGAGATTAGACTGCAGTCATTTCTAACTCAATTTTCTGTAAATTTAATTTATTTCAGTAAGATAAAGCAACTGGAAAAATAAAAACGGAAGACTTCTTAACTTCCTTGTTTTTGCTGTGTGATCCATGAATGACCAGAAGGCATTGCTTCTGATAGTCGTAGACTTGATTTAAAAAAAAATAAACTAATAGATGATTATAATGTTTCATTGCTTTAGGCTTCTGATAGCCATAAACTTGAAAGAAATATGCTAATAGATGGCTGTAATAATGTTTCTATTCATTTCAGTGCTTGTAAGTTAATTTGCAATTATATCCTATGAAATAATGTAAGCATATACATACATGTTTTCAAAATGATATATAGTGGTAGAATTTTCTAATTATTTATGAGTGATTTTTTTTTCTATTCATTTCTCTTTCTCCCTTGCTTTGCTGTTGCTCTTGTGATATCTGGGTGCTCTGCACATTTCATTGCAGACCTTGCCGTGGGCTGATCATTTGGATGCAGTGCTCGGGAGTTCACAGATTTGTTGCGGGGTTCATATTGGCTGTTCTGGGATTGGACTCAAGAATGTGGGGTTGTGCTGGGGATCAAACTCTTAACCTCAGGCATGCAAGACAGGCAATATATCAGTTAGTTACACCCATGGGTCCTACACTGATCTCTAGAAAATCTCTACCCTTAGTCACCTGATCTTTAGGAGTATGAATATTTGACATTGTGTTACAATAATGCACGTGCCAGCTTCTCTCAGAGAACGTAAATTCCGTAAGTTAGAAAAATTAATTTATCCTTTCTTTAGTTCGAAAGCTTTATCAGTCATTTAAATTAAGTGCCACAATATTTATCAAGGTTTCTGGTTGTCAGGTTGTTGTGGGGATACAGAGATGAGCCAGACATGATTCTCGAGTTGTAGGAAACTCATGTATAATCTCATGTGAGGTTTGCGCACTGAGCAGGCAACTGTCATGGATAGAATTACCCAAGGAGTGCTAGAGCAGTGCGGAGAAGGCCCCTTAGTAATAGAAGAGATTTCAAAGATCTGGGAAATAATTTTTGTTTATTTTTAGCCTAGCTTAGATAACATCCTTACAGTAATGTTAATGCTTACAGCTGTGATGTATGAAGTGATGATCCTTTCACCATGGCCAAGAGTGCCCAGGACCCTCCACCGAGATCCCTGTACTATTATTTATTTATTTATTTGCTTTTTGGGTCACACCCAGCAGTGCTCAAGGGCTGCTCCTGTTTGTGCACTCAGGAATTACTCCAGGCAATGCTCGGGGAACCATATGGGATGCTGGGGATCGAACCCGGGTCAGCCCCATGCAAGGCAAATGCCCTTCCCGCTGTTATCTCTTCGGCCCCTGTTTCTTATTTTTGTTTTGTTTTGTATTTATCTTCGGGTGTCTGCTGGCGATGATCAAGACTTGCTCCTTGCTTTGCTCTCAGGGGTCACTTCTGGAGGTGTTCAAGGAACCATATTGGGTACTGGGGATTAATTGGGTCAGACACCTGCAAGACAAACATCTTACCCATCCCACTGTACTATCTCTTTGTCCCCTTTATGTTACTTTTTTCTTGGGGGGGGGGAGTCGAGGGGTGGGGAGTCCACCCCAGCACTGCTCAGGGCTTACTCCTGGCTCTGCACTCATCGCGATCACTCCTGGTGGGGTCAGGGGGCCACTTGGGGTGCTGGGGATTGAAGCCTGGTCTATCACATGCAAGGCAGTGCCATACTGCTGTATCATCACTCCAGACTCAGCTTCTTATCCACTTCTTCACTCATCTCCCCACCCCCACCTTGTGCTTGGTGACCAAGGTTTTTGTCATCGGATACTTTCAGTCCTCAGGGATATGATTTTTAGCAATAATTTTACAGATAAATTTAGAAAGAAAGAGGAGCTCGGTGGGTTGGAGAATGGATAGGTGGGTGGAATGGCATTCCAGCGGTAGGACATGATGTATAGAAAATCAGGATTGGAAGAATTTTTGTTATTTTTTTTTTTTTTTGGAAAGTCACTGGTTTTAAGCTAGAAAGAATTTGATCTGAACAGAAGTTTGTGTCATGGTGGCCTTCATCTGATCTGTGGAAAAGATTGGTCTTTACCTCTGGGGAAATATTTTCTAGCCTTTCCATTTCCAGTAAGTCCTTCTTAAAGCTGTCCTTTGGCCAAAGAAGTGTTTTAAAATGTTCTTTAGCACATGGTAGATTTAGTGCATCTATAAGTGCACAATGATATGTACTAGAGGTTCTGTAAGTTCAATGTTAAACACTTATTTAGCTTTAGCTTACTGTTTTCCAAATTTATTTATCAGTCACTCTTCCACAATGCACTTATTAAGATTCCGTGCCATAGCTGCATGGAACACTTTTTAGGAAAGTTTACACTATATGTGGGAGATATTAAAGGACTCTATAAATTCTTGTTCTCGGTGTTCAAGTTAACATTGATTGAAGACATTCTTCCATTGTTTTAGAAGTTTTGTTTATTTATTTACTTGGCTTTGGGGCCATACCTGGCTATGCTTTGTGTTCAGGGATCACTCCTGGCAGGTTTGGGGGACCACATGGCGTACCGGGGACTGTTGAACCCAGGACAGGTATATGCCAGGCAGCACCCTACCCACTGTAGTATCTCTATTATTTCAGCTGTTCCAATGAAAATACTAGATTCTTATATTCTTGATATAATTTGAATGCACCGTTACCTTCTTCCTCTTTGTATGTTTCCATCTGTAGCATGATGAAAGCATTCGAAGGCACATGGAGCAAATAGAACAAAGAAAAGAAAAAGCAGCCGAGTTAAGCAGTGGACGGCATGCAAACACGGATTATGCCCCCAAACTGACCCCTTACGAGAGAAAGAAGCAGTGCTCCCTCTGCAATGCCCTGGTAGGTTGGTCACTTTCAATATTGTGGTGATGCATTTTATTAACATAGTTTGCCCAACTATGAAAATATATTCTCTCGTTGTTTAGAAACTCACACTGAAGAACCTGCAGAGAACCATGGATTTCTTTTTCTTTTTTGCTTTCTGGATCACACCCAGTGATGCACAGGGGTTACTCCTGGCTCTGTACTCAGGAATTACTCCAGACGGTGCTCTGGGGACCATATGGGATGCTGGGGATCGAGCCTGGGTCGGCTGCATGCAAGGCAAACGCTCTACCCACTGTGCTATCGCTCCAACCCCAACCATGGATTTCTTGCCTGATTTTTAGTGCAGGGTGACTAGTTCAAAAATAGTGATGGGCTGGAGCGATAGCACAACAAGGTAGGGCGCTTACCCTGTGCGCAGCCAACCTGGGTTCGATTTCCAGCATCCTGTATGGTCCCCCGAGCACCGCCAGGAATAATTCCTGAGTTTTCAGAGCCAGGAGTAACCCCTGTACATTGCTGGGTGTGACCAAAAAACCAAAAAAAAAAAATAGTGACAACACTTAGGAGTCATAGTGAAAAGTGCCCCCAGATGTAGTGGCTGCTAAAACAGATTTTTAGCTGTTTGCTGGTAGTCCAGCTCAGTATTTTTTATGTATTAAGACCAAAAAGAAAAAGAAAAGGAATGGGGCTGGAGTACAGAGTTGGCGTGCAGGAACTCCAGATTCTGTCCCTGGCATTGCCTGGTCTCCTAAGCACCACCAGGAGTGCCCTCCTGTCACCAGCACCCAGCATTGCCGGGTGTGGCCCGAAAGCTGAAAACTGTCACTGTCACGGTCACTGTCCTCCCGTTGTTCATCAGTTTGCTCGAGCGGGCCCAGTAATATTGTGAGACTTGTTGTTACTGTGTTTGGCATATTGAATATGTCATGGATAGCTTGCCAGGCTTTGCCATGTGGGCGAGATTCTCTCGGTAGTTTGCCAGGCTCTCCAAGAGGGGCGGAGGAATCAAACTCGGGTTGGCCCGGTTGGCCACGTGCAAGGCAAAGGCCCTACCCGCTGTGCTGTTTCTCTAGCCCAAAGCTGAAAAAGAAGTAGAAAAAAGGAAAACCTTTTTTTGGTGCTGAAAATATTTTGTGCTGGAACTTGAACCTTGATACCAAAAGGAGATGCTATCCTGTAGGACTATCATTTCATGCCTCTTATAACTAGGTATCTTCTATTGGATTCTCAAAATTGGGATCTGACCAAAAAATCTTTTATTGATTGATTGATTAATAGATTAACTGATTTCAGTATTTGGGTCACACTTGACAGTGCTCAGGGGTTCCTCCTGGCTCTGCACTCAGGGATCACTCCTGGCGGTGCTTGGGGGACCATACGGGATGCCAGGGATCCAACCTGGGTCGGCCATATGCAAGGCAAATATGCCCTACTTGCTGTATCATCCCTCCAGCGGCGTTTCTTTTTTGTGTTGTATTCGAGCCCATCACTGGCAGCGCTCAAAAACTCCTGGCTCTCCTCTCAGGGATCACTCCTGGTGGGGCTTGGGGGACCATATGGGGCGTTTGGGATCGAACCTGGGTCTGCTGTGTGCAAGGTAAGATCCCGACCCACTTCCCTGCTATATTATCCCCCACCCATCCCGATATTTTATATCTTAATATGTAACTGTAGAGTGATCACAACTTGCATGTAGCACCTAAGATTGAATGTGCAATATTTAAAGTTGAACAGTATGTTGATTGCATTGCTTTTGTTTTACGCCCTTAGATCTCTTCAGAGGTCTATCTTTTCAGTCATATCAAAGGGAAGAAGCACCAGCAGGCAGTGCGAGAGAACAGCAGCATTCAGGGACGGGAACTCTCTGATGAAGAAGTGGTAAGTTTTCCATTCGTTATCAAGGTTTGCTCATTGGGTCCCTTGTGGTTTCTCTAGTCATTCGTAATTCCATGTTTAGTGGTGGCAGAACTAGCTCAGCTGTTGAAGCACATGCTTTGCCTGTGGGAGGCCTGGGTTCAATCCCCAGCATCCCATAGTTAACCTAAGCATCACTAGGAGCAAACACCCAGGCACTGTCAGGTATGGCCCCCAGCCCTCCCCCCTCCCAAATCCTAACTCCTTCCCTATTTCCAAGCAATTCCATGTTCATATATTTTCTGTTATCATTTAAAGCAATTTAACATTTGATAACTACTATTAAAGTATAGAATGTGTCATTATGCTGGTAAAAGAGTATATTTAGTATATAGTATATCATTTAATATTTTATGTACTGGACTGTACTGTCCTCCTATTGTTCATTGATTTGCTCGAGTGGGCACCAGTAACATCTCCATTGTGAGATTTGTTACTATTTTTTTGTTGTTGTTGTTGTTTTTTGTGTCACACCTGGCAATGCACAGGAGTTACTCCTGGTTCATGCACTCAGGAATTACTCCTGGCCGTGCTTGGAGGACAATATGGGATGCTGGGAATCGAACCTGGGTTGGCCACGTGCAAGGCAAACACCCTACCCACTGTGCTATTGCTCCAGCCCCCTGTTACTGTTTTGGCATAGCGAATATGCCACAGGGAGCTTGCCAGGTTCTGCTGTGCAGATGGGATATTCTCGGTAGCTTGCCGGGCTCTCTGAGAGGGACGAAGGAATCGAACCTGGGTCAGCTATGTGCAAGGCAAATGCCCTACCTGCTGTGCTGTCGCTCCAGCCCTTAATATTTAATTATTGCAGCGTGTGACATTTAATAAGAAACAGTACAATAATGTTATCTACATATTCTCAATGCACAAAAGATGGTGGTGTGATATTTTAATCACTGTCACTGTCAGTGTCCTCCTGTTGTCCATCCATTTGCGTGAGCGGGCCCAGTAACAGTGTGTTACTATGTTTGGCATTTCGCATATGTCACGGGTAGCTTGCCAGGCTTTGCTGTGCGGGCGATATACTCTCGGTAGCTTGCCGGGCTCTCCGAGAGGGGCAGAGGAATCAAACCTGGGCCAATCGGGTCGGCCGTGTGCAAGGTGAATGCCCTACCGCAGTGCTATCTCTTTAGCCCGATATTTTAATAATATAAGAAAAAGATTATTGAGTGTCTACCTTTTTTGGAAAATAACCATGTAAATTTCATATAAATTGATCATATCAATAAATGGGAAACATTGGAAATGCAGTATTTATCTCCCTGAGATTTTGTGTATTATCTCCCTGAGACTGACCCTGGGAATTGGTCACCAGACTTACTCAGGAGAGGGCTAGTGACTTCAGTACAAGTGGAGGTAGTTTTCTCTTTATAAACATAAGAGGTATATTTCCACAGTGGAGCTAAATGAATTTTTTTCACCAAGTCTCAAAATGGAGACGTTACTGGGCCCACTCGAGCAAATTGATGAACAACGGGAGGACAGTGACAGTTTTGAAAAGGGATTGGTCAGCCAAATAAACTTTGGAAGGGGCCAAAGAGATAGTACAGCGAGAATGCACTTGCCTTGTGTTCAGCCAAACTGGATTCTATCTCCAGAATCCCGAATGGTCCCTGAGCCCGCCAGGAGTGATCTCTGAGCCAGAGCCAGGAATCAGCCCTGAGGACTGCCAGGTGTGGCCCCAGAACAAAACAAAACAAAAATCTGTTTCGTAACTGCAAATAATTTTTGCTTTTACTCAATTTACAACGATCACGATCACGATCATCCTGTTGTTCATCGGTTGCCTCGAGCAGGCAACCAGTAACGTCTCCTTCGTCCAAGCCCTGAGATTCTAAAAAGTGCCACATTCAAGGCTCTTTCATGGTTAGGAGAATGAGACCCATCATTGTTGCTGGTATTTGGCATATTGAGTACGCCACAGGGAGTTTGCCAGACTCTGCTGTGTGGGCAGGCTACATTCGGTAACCTGCCAGGTTCTCCAAAGCAAGAATGAGATAATAAGATGTCACGCACGGTCGCGTGCTTCTGGGAGCTGGGTTTTATAGTCTCTGGGTCTTGGCCGTTGATGGGATTACATGGCGGTGGGGGGGGGAGGGGCGTGGAGGGGGACAGTTGGTGGGTGTGACCCCCACCTAGTGGAAGATGGAGGATCTGGGTGGAGGATGCTCAGCCCCGATCCAAGCAGGCTTGGAGATCTCAGCCCTGGGACCCACATGCCTTTGTTCCTCTGCCGGTACCTTCATGCGTGTGGAGAGTGGTCTCAGGAAGGTTGTGGCTGGTTCTGGAGGTCTTCGGCTGCCAGAGTCTGCTCGGGGCAGGGAGGGAAACTCAACCCGCCCCCTCCAAGGGGCCCCGGTGAGGACAGCTAGGCGCAGGGGTAGGAGACTCCAATTTATAAAGGCATTTTAAAAAAGTGTAATTTATTAATTTTTTTAATTTGAAATTGTTTTTTAATATGGAATTATTTTAAACTTGAAATATGCCATAATTATCCTTATTCTCCTTTAAGATTTCTTGTTTGTCTGTTTTTTTGGGTCACACCCAGCGATGCTCAGGGGTTACTCCTGGATCTGCACTCAGGAAATACTCCTGGTAGTGCTCAGGGGACCATATGGGATGCCAGGGATCAAACCCAGGTTGGCCGCGTGCAAGGCAAACACCCTACCCACTGTACTATTGCTCTGGCCCCCTGTATTAAGATTTTTCTATTTGCATGTATGTGTGCTCCACTTGGAAAAATTCAAACTTGCTTTATGCAAACAATTATTCCCATCATAAGGGAAAATTCTTCTGGTCATCACTTGATCACTTGACTTCCTGTTAATCGTTGAGTTGCTCGAGCGGGCGCCAGTAACGTCTCCATTTGTCCCTGTTGCGTGCTAGTGTAATTTAACACTAAAGATACTGTTTATTTTATGAAAAATATTTTTAAACATTTTGGAGCACTGCTGGCATGTTAGCTGTAATCTAAGTTTTGAGTATTCTTATTTAAATGAGAAAGAATTGAGGACAGGATATTAAATTCGTGTACTTTGGAAGAAAGATCATCTAATTTTTGTAGCTGCTGTAGCATAGTCTGGCGTTTAGCTCTTAGAGTTTGAGATGTGATTAATGTGTTTGTTTTTTTCCGTACTCTGTCATCGTACAAGATTTACATTTTCTGTAGTTTCCCCTTAATCTATATCATTGCTTTCCATGGTAACCACTTCTTTCGGAAAACACGGGTGTGGTACAGCACGTGAGTTGTGTGATCTAAAGACAATTTTATGTTGACTCACACAGAAGTCTCATTTTTAATCAGTGAAGGTATCTACACTAAACATACTTGTTCTACTTAAAGTTATTACTTGTCATCTGTGATGTCTTTATATTACATACACCTTGTCGGTGACCCTTCTCCTTTGGCATATAAAATTTTATTTATACCACCTCTGACCGAATAAAATTGTACCTCTGACCTTATGTACTTGACATGTCAGATAACTTACTCTTGATCTTTGACACATTTTGTGTTAACCCTGTTAAACATAATCGGCGAGAAGGTTTTGTGTCCGTATTGCAGTTTGACTAGGAAATGTTTTTTGTGTTTCTTGAGACTTCTTCTCAAAAACCTCTGTTACATGTTTGGTATTTTCCCCTCTTTTATCATTTTAGAACCCAAATAATTAGTGAATTTTAAAGGAACAAAACAGCTCTTAGCTTAAGTGTATTCTAGAATGTAATTTTTTGTGTTGATAGAGAAATGGTAAGTCATTTTAATTAAAACTGACCTCCTGCTGGTTCTGTCTTCACACTGTCTAAGGAAGCCTATAGTGATTTTTGTGAATCTGCATGAAGTACATCGATCTTATACAAAGAATGACATTTTGAAGCTTAAAATTCTGAATCCATCTATTTTTGTGTTTGTGAGACTCCTTGGTTTTAAAAACATGTCAATTGTCAAAGCTCTGTTAGTAATAATATACTTAAATATAGAAAAAGCATTAATTTTTAAAATTTGGTTTGCTAGAAATATTTGATGAAGGATCTTAGCCATGATTCATTGGATGTTAATGACCAAGTACAATTTCACAAATCCCAAATTATTGTTTTGTATTTATTTCTTAATTTTATTATAGTTTGGGTCAGATGGTTCCATTAGAGCCACAGAGTGTGTGTTGATGTACAAAGTTACTGCATCCCCCCAAGCCCTCCAAAGTGCCCACAATCCTCCACCATGTCCCTATGTCACCTCTAGTGTAGCCATTATTCCCTCCCTCTGTCCTCCAGGGTTTGGTAATTATGTCTGGATGGAGCTGGAGAGAGCTTCCCAGGCTGAGCTCAGGCTTTGCATGCAGGAGGCCTGGGTTGGACCCTGGCACAGTATGGACCCTCAGCGCCTCCAGAAGTGACGCCCAACACAGAGCTAGCTAGAGTCAGCCTCCAGCACCATTGTGTGTGGCCCTCAAGAAAACACACTTTTTTTAAAGAGCTTAATTGTTTTTGTAAATAATTGATTTAGGATTTTTCTAATTTTCCTCTCAAGATCATATATTAACTTTTTTTTTTAAATTCCTGGGATGAGTTTCATAAAATTCAATCTCTTCTTTGAAGGTTTTGGTTAATGTGCCTATAAATATGCATGTCTCTGGGAGAGCGTATTTTTCTTTTCTTTTCTTTTTTTTTTTTTTGCTTTTAGGGTAACACCCTTTTAGGGCTGCTTTTAGGGCGGGAGCAATAGCACAGCGGTAGGGCGTTCGCCTTACAAGCAGCCAACATGGCCAACCCGAGTTCGATTCCTCCGCCCCTCTCGGAGAGCCCGGCAAGCTACCGAGAGTATTCGATATGCCAGACACAGTAACAACAAAGTCTCCAATGGAGACGTTACTGGGCCCGCTCGAGCAAATCGACGATCAACAGGAGGGCCTTTACCTTTACCTTTACCTAGGGTAACACCCAGCGAACCTTAGGGGTTACTT